GGGGGGGGGGGGTGGCGGGGGGGGGGAGAGAGGGAAGGAGGGAGGGAGGGAAGGTGGCGAGAGGAGGAGAGAGGGAGCAGTGGAAGGAAGGAGGGAGCGAGCGAGCGAGAGAGGGGGGTGATGGGGGGAAAAGGCGCTGGGGACTGTCCAGGCGCTGGGTCAAGGCAGGCACTAATGAAGGGAGAAGGGGCTTGTTTCTCTGCTCTTTGTAAGTTGGAGGGTTGTTGGTCCGTTGAGTTGGGAAGCTGCGCGGCCGGTTAAGGAGCCTGGGTTTCTGCACTCGGGGTTTGGGTAGAGGAGCAGAATGGAGGCCATTGTTCGCTTTCTGTAGGCTTTGTTTAACAGTTCTCACCCCCTCCTGTTCTTACTTTTTAAAGCAGTGAGGCGAGGTAGACAGCGTGTGTCACAGTACAGTGAAAAAGGGGAAGATCTAAAGACCAAAAAAGAAGTTAATCACAAGACGGGGAGTTTGGGGTAGAAAAAGTTGCCAGTGCCGCGGGGAAAGGGGGAGGGGGGGGGGGAATAAATAACTCGAGGAAATACCCGGAGGTAAAAATGGAGCTCCGCTCCCAGCACGCAGGGCAGCCGGCGGAGGGCTCCCCCCCCGCCACCTCCCCGCCCCCGCCGCCGGTGCCCGCGCAGCCCCCGCGCAGCGCCGCCCGCCCCGCTCCGCTGCGCTCCCCCCGGCCCGCGCCCCGCCGCCCCGCACACCTTCCCGGCGCCGCTCCACACTTTTTTAATGTACTTCTTCTGCTTTGTCCTAGAGGGAAGACTTTAACTAGTGACACGCAGATGTGCGAGTCCCTAAATTGTATGAGAGGACAGTCCACCCTGCTTTCAGGCAAGTTTAAAAACATGACATCGGACTCTCTTTGTGATTGTTGTCGCTCCACTTAATACACCACCTCAGCGAAGGGCACTAACGACGAGGCAATACGCCACCTGCATGCAATTAAAACGAGAAACCACTTGGCGGGCTGCTTCTCTTAATTTTTTTCCCCCGCGTGTTAGGGATACATATGTACAGTTTTGCCTCGAGATGTTAAAACCCCCCAAATCCTTAAACTAACCGGGGCAAGATGCCTAAGGATAACAAAATCAGCCTGTGAGATATTAGCCTCTCTGCAGCTTAACTGTGTGCACTACCTCGCCTGATTAACGCCTATTTTATCACTGATAGACTGCTATAGGCGACCCCCGTGGGATACTGCTCTATCAGCCCAACATGCAGAACAGTAAGTGACTCCGCGCCCCTTCGCGGCCGCGGAGGGCAGGCGGGGCGGCCGCGGGCGCGCAGGAGCGGGCCGGCACACCGAGGCGGAGGGCTCGCTCGGGTGGGGGAGGGAGAGGCGGCTCCGCCGGGAGCTGGGACCCCTGCGCGGCCGGGAGCGCCGCCCGCCCCGTCGGGGCGCGAGTACAGCCGTGGGCGGCGGGGAGGGGGCCGGGAGCGCTGTCACGGCTCCCGGGCCACGGGGACTGCCCCGGCTCGTGGCCCAGGACCTGGCTGTGTCCCTGTCTGGTTTGTGGTGGGAGCTGGGCAGGAAAAAGCCACTCCGTGTTAGGTGCAGTTCCTCGTAACCTTCTGAGTTTATTTGCTTCCCGATTCTGATGTCTTTGTGGATTATTAATTTTCTGAGGGACGTTTTATCTGTTGTTGTTGTTGTTGTCGCTGCTGTTGTTAAGACCTCGTCGAGAGGCCTGAGCGTTTCTCAGAGAGGAAAGCGCTGGCATCAGGCAGGAGTGCACGGAGACGGGCACGGGGGCGGCGAGAAGCGGCCTCTCCTTGCGTCCTGGCGGAAGGGGCTGCGCGGGGGTCGAAGGGACCGGGGCTGAGGTCCCAGACAGTCTGGAGTAGGCCCCATGTCCTCGGGACGCGGGGTGGGCTCCGTGGGAGCGCTTATTCTGCGCGTGTGGCGGTGGCGAGGAGGAGCGCAGGCCGAGTTGCGCGGCCCTTGCGCGGGGCGGTCGGCCCCCACCTCGGTGCTTCTCTGGAACCTGGCTGGGGATGCCTATCCCACCGTTCAACCGGTTGATAAGTTGTCCCCCCGTGTGAGGAGCATCAGGAAAAACAGAGGTTTTGGAGATTTCTCAGATATCCTTGGTTGGAGCGCCTTTTTTTTTTTTTTTTTGGTTGATTTTTTTTTTTAAATTTTGTTTGGTTTGATGCTTGTTTGTGGGGTCGTTTTCCTTCTTTTTTTTCTATCGGGGCCGCTGCTTGCATGTCCGTGCGATGAATTTTCATGTATCCCGAGCAAAAACTGAGCCTCGGCAACCCGGGGAGGGTACTACCTGCGCCTCGCAAGGACGGCGGCGGCTGCCCTTGGCCGTGGCGTGCCGAGGGTTTATGGTAATGGGGGATGCCTTCACTCGGCCGTTTGGGATCGCCACTGCAAAACGCAGAAAAGATATCATTCGGGTGAAGCCTTTATTTTGTTTAAAGGTCGCGGCGGGCTCTTCAGGCTTTGTGTTAATAACTCCTGGGTGTATATGGTGCAGAGCATCCAAATTGACACCATATGTTTTCCTATTAGATGACTAGCAATAGAATACAAGGCGCATAATCATTGCCACTGGGCGAGATCTACACCGCTCTCCAGGGAAATTATATAATGATTAAGGCTTAACCTTTTAAGTGAAACTTTGATTTTGCTTTCCCCGCTGCCATTTTTTATGTCGGAGAGGGTCCCCCCCCCCTTGAAATGGGCTCCCCGCACCGCATTTACGGGGGGAGGGGGGCTGACGACGGACGCTGGCTGAGCGGGGGGGGGGGAGCAGCCGTGGGGCTGCGCCCCCCGGCCGCCCACCGCCGCCCCGAGCCGGCCCGCCCGCCGGGGCGCAGCCCCGAGCCCCCGGGGCGCGGGCGGGGAGGGACGCGGGGCTCCTCTCCCCGCGGTGGGAAGCGCAGGTCGCAGCGCCGGCCGTGCTGCTGGGCCGGGGCGGCAAATTCCCCAGCCCCGATGTCACTTCGAATCCATTGCGCGGGGAGCGCGCCCCCTCGGTGTGTCCGCGCAGAGCCCCCGGCTACCGCAAACCGCAGCCTCCCTCGGAGGGAGAGCGAGTAGAGTTCAATCTAGTCTGAGTGATATCCAAATGCGGACAGAAAGGGTCGTTTTATCATGCTACTATTTGTCGTGACGATGCAATTTTCAAAAGCAGAGTACTGTCATAAAGTGACACGCCTGCCACAAGTGCTCCAACTGATCTTTTCAATTAGCCTTCCATGCATGATCCGGGGCGACTTCCGCCTATTTCCAGAAATTAAGCTCAAACTTGACGTGCAGCTAGTTTTATTTTAAAGACAAATGTCAGAGAGGCTCATCATATTTTCCCCCTCTTCTATATTTGGAGCTTATTTATTGCTAAGAAGCCTGGGCTCTTGGAGTCAATTTATCAGGAGGCTCCAAAGAGAGGAGAGCGGAGAGCGCGTAGAGCAGAGCTTCTCCAGGGAGACCCTCCAAAGCCTGGAGCTTCAGGTTGGGCACTGGCGAGGCAGCCTCTCGCTTTGCTTTTGGCGAAGCGAGCTGCGGCTGTGCGGATGCAGGCAGGCTCGCTTGGGCTTGGGCTTTGGGCTTTGGGGTTTTTATTTTTTTGGCGGGGAGGAAAAGAAAAAAAAAAAAGGCAAAGCAAGGGAGCAACCCAAGGCGATCCAGCCCAGGAATATTCTGGGCTTTTGGGTTGGGTCTGGGGGTTCGCCGCTGCCGCGGGTTTCGCAGACGGGGAGTGCGGCGAAAACGCATTTTCTGAGCCGCGGTGGCTCCCGGGGAGCAGTGGGCGAGGACGGGGCCGAGGCCGGAGCCGGGTCGGGAGCGGTGGCCCCCGGTCGGGCGGAGCGGATGGGCGCGGAGCGGAGCGGCGGAGCTGCGCGGAGCCCTCGTTCTCCCGGCGGGGTGTGCGCGGGTCGGGCGGGAGCGGAGGGTGCTATGGTGGGCGCTGTGCTTCCCGCAGGTCACAGCGGCGTGAACCAGCTCGGCGGGGTGTTCGTCAACGGGAGGCCGCTGCCCGACTCCACGCGGCAGAAGATCGTGGAACTCGCTCACAGCGGCGCCCGGCCCTGCGACATCTCCCGGATCCTGCAGGTGAAGGCGGCGGCGCCCCCCGTCCTCCCACCGCTCCGTCCGCTCCGCTCCAGCGCCGCTGTGTCACCGCCGGGCGCCCGGGCGCTAATGCGACCCCCCCACACCCACCCACGCACCACCACCACCCGCCTTCCAGCCTAATAAAACGATCCATCTGCTCGATTGTTGCTGCAAATAGACCCTTCTACGCGTATATCTATATATATGCCTTTTAAGATATTTAAATTTTTATTTTTCGTTCCCCTTTATTCCCATCCGGTGATAACCCGCACTGTCGTTGCAGTTAGTTCGCTGTAATAAACTGAATTATACGGCTCGGCATAATTCCAGTTTCCTCTCCTTCCCTCCTTCCCCCTCCTATTTGCTTATGATTTTGTGATATCTGTATGCATTTGGCGTGGCTTACTGCTTTTTTATTTTTACCTTTTTTTTTTCTTCCAAAAAGCAAAACAAACCAAAAAAAAAAAAAAAATTAGAGAGAGAGAGGGAAAAAAAAAAAAGAACCCCCTTCAAAGCCACGCTGTTTTAGCCCGGAATCTGTCTCTACAGACACTCATGCAATCTGGCGCAGCTCAGGGGTACTTTGTAAATGTAGGTCTTGAAAACGCCTCACTCACCCTGTCCCCTGCAAGTATTTTGGCTAAGAGCAGTGAGGAGGATGCAGACTAGTCTGGCTTAGCTATTGTTCGCATTTAAGGATTATTTTAACATTGATGCTAAAAGAATTACATTTTGACCAGATGATTTTTTTTCCCAGATGTTTTTAAAGTATCACTTTTGTAGAGGGTAGGGCCAAGAATGTAATTTTTTTTAAAGAAAAAAAGACTCTCTAAGTAAGTTCTCATACCATTTAAGGTATATTTTTGTGTTATAGACCCATGCAGATGCAAAAGTCCAAGTGCTGGACAATCAAAACGTAAGCTTGTCATTGTTTAATGCATACTTAAACAATTTTATTTTTGTCTTGAAATTATTAATAATGTGATTTTCTGTCCACTTCCCTATCCAGGTGTCGAATGGATGTGTGAGTAAAATTTTGGGCAGGTATTACGAAACTGGCTCCATCAGACCCAGGGCAATCGGAGGTAGTAAACCGAGAGTAGCGACTCCAGAAGTTGTAAGCAAAATAGCGCAGTATAAACGAGAGTGCCCCTCCATCTTTGCGTGGGAGATTCGAGACAGATTACTATCAGAGGGGGTCTGTACCAACGATAATATACCCAGTGTAAGTTCATGAAAAAACCCTTCCTGTGTGCTGTGTACAATGCTGGGTAGCCGTAGCGAGCCTCTGCTTCCTTTGTTTTGGTATCAGAGGAGAGGATAGCAGGTTCACATCATTTGCATGTGGCAGGGTCAGACGCATTTTTTCATACAGAATCTGACAAATGCCTTTAAGGAGGGAAAAAAAAAATAAAAAACAATATGCGGGTCACCCCTGCGCCTGGTGCCTCAGGACTGCGAGCATCAGTCGAAGCCATCACTCTGGTTTTGCAGGGTTGGGTTTGGGGCTTTTTTTTTTTTTCCTTGGCTTTTTTTTTTTTTTNACAGAATCTGACAAATGCCTTTAAGGAGGGAAAAAAAAAATAAAAAACAATATGCGGGTCACCCCTGCGCCTGGTGCCTCAGGACTGCGAGCATCGGGTTCATTTTGGCTCTTTATGAAAAAGAGATTGAAATGGACTGTTTTTTTTTTTTCCTTGTTTTTTTTTTTTTTTTTTTTCCCCGTGGTTTGTTTGTTTGTTTGCACCACCACCACCAGCAGTGAGCGAGTCGGGGCGGCTGGGACACGGCGGTGCGGGGCGGCCGCAGCGCGCAGCCGGCGCTCGGGGAAGCCCTGACTTGCGCCCAGGTCGAGCCGCCCGCTGCGCGGAGGGGGCGCGGAGGGGACGCGGGGACTGCGCGGGCGGCTGGCGGGGAGCGCGCTACCGCACTACCATTGCCTTTCCTGTCCTTTGCCTTCCAGGTGTCGTCGATAAACAGAGTCCTACGCAACCTGGCTAGCGAAAAGCAACAGATGGGTGCCGACGGGATGTACGACAAGCTAAGGATGCTGAACGGGCAGACGGGGACCTGGGGCACCCGACCCGGCTGGTATCCCGGCACCTCGGTACCCGGGCAGCCTGCACAAGGTAAGGGACAGCCCGGTCGCCTCTCCCCGGCCCGGAGCGGCCCGGGGCGGCTCGGTTCGGTCTCTTTCGGCGGAGGCGGCCCCGATGCGGGTCCTCCTCGCCCCCTCCCCGGCCGCAGCCCTGAGGATGGCGGTGTCCCTCCCGCCGCCTCTCTGGGTGGCTGCGGGCAGGTGGGTGCGGGGTCCGGCGGCCCGGGGGGCGTCCAGACCCGGCCCCGGCAGGGCGGCAGGCAGAGGAGCTCAGGAGCATCCTCTGCCAAAGCCGCATCCGCCGAGCTGCGGTGCCGGCAGCCGGGCGGGATGCAGGGCTGAGCCTTAACCTCAGCCCGGTAATTAGGGCTCCCGCTCCCCGCCCGGGCCGCCTTCCCGCGTCGGGGTCTCTCTGCAAAGCCAGGGCGATCGGTAACTATCTCCGTAGGGCTGATTATAATTCCTCCTCAATGGACCCGAAACAACTTTGTAAATATAGGAAACTGTTTATCCTGAAGATTAATAGGTATTTGTTGTAGGAATGACAAGGGGATAATATGAAGGATAATGGGATGTTACGTTACATACTTAAGATGGTTAATGGCTTCTTTTTGAATGTGGGCTCTGTTGAGGCGCGGCTCTCCCTGGCTCTGGTCATTCCTTTAGAAGAGGTGTCTATATACAACAACCTGCTTTTTGTTTTCACCCCGCAAGGAAAAAAAAATCGGTAACAGTGTGCGGAATATCTGGTACAAAGGATGTTTCTGTCACACGCAAGAATTTGTTATGGGAACAATTCTGTCGCTATGTAATTGCTCATTAGAGATCGTTTTGTTTCTCATTAAGGCGACATGAATAAGCGTCTAGTTGAAGGAGACAGCTGTAGAAATGTTCCACAGGAGACCTCTGGACACGATATGGCACCGCTTGCCAATTAGACATGTCAGTTTTAAGAGAAGAAAACAGTCTATGAAGGACACTAGAAAGATAGAGCGGAGTCCTCGCTTCCCCCCACCCCCACTTTGGTGTTTTTTGTTGTTTGGTTGTGGTTTTGGTTTGGGTGGGTTTTTTTGTTTTGCCTTTTTTTTTTTTTTTCATTTTGTTTTGCCCGATGTCCACCCAGGAACCGGGACGGCTCCTACCCCCGGCTCGCCCCTACCTGCCTGGCCCTGCGCCGGCCCGGGGCCTCTCGGCCATCCCCGTGTCTCGGCGCCCTTCCTTCCCTGCCCCGCACCCGAGAGCCAAACAGCGGAGGCACCGCACCTTCCGCCCCTGTGGCTCCCACCGGCCGGGCGCCCTCCCTTCCCGCCCGTATGTGGTTTTGGTTTTTTTGATTTTTGTTTTCTTAAAAGAGGCGTTAAATTGAGAAATTTGGGGCGCTCCCGGCCGCAGAGCCGGTGGTTGCGAGGCCCAGCCGCGGGTGCGGGAGGCGCGGGACGGGCTCACCTGGGGCCGGCGGCCCTTCGGCCGCACCAGCGCTGCGGCACAGCCGCCTGTGCCACAGAGGCCGGGAGTGTGCGGGGGTCGGTGGCGCTTTGGGGAGCCCGTGGTGGCCCCTTCCCGTGGCGTGGAGATGAGCGCAGTTCCCGCAGTTCCCCGGGCAGGAGAGAGCGCGGCGGGAGGACCTCGGGAGCCCCCTCCTAAAACCGCAGCCGAAATAAAGCGTTTGCGGGGCAGGGCTGGCTCGGGCCGGGGGCGCGTGTGTGCGTGGGCAGGAGAGGCGAGGGGGAGGCAGGCAGGCACTTAAAACATCCGCATGGCAAAATTAAAATTAATAAAATGGATTTCCTCTGGAATATTCATGCTCCCTCTAATGTTTTTCCCTTGCAGGGGTATGTTACTGGATTTTAAGAGTCCATTACTCAAAAAGCATAAGGCGAGGTTAGGTCTCAGAGGGGTACAAATATGGTCTCAATCTGATAAACGCCATGCAGCAGTGAATAAAATAATGGATACATGAGGGCTGACAGAACAAAAAGAGACATCTCTATCCGAGAGAAATTCTCCAGTGATTTAGTGGTTTTAGGGATCACCGAGACACTGTTTCTTATCTTTTTTTTATCCCCTCCCTCTCTTATAAGACTAAAGCCTTCTATAGGATTTAGACACTTTCTCTTTCAACAGATGCTACAATGTTTTGATCCCGGCTCTATAGCTGAGAGGTGCCGCAATTGGTTTGCTATCTTTTTTTGCTTGTTTTCCGCCTCACTGATTAAGACACTAAGAAACTAAGGAATGATTTTATTTCCCAGCGTCTTTTTTTTTTGGTCCCCCTTTTTTTTTTTTTTTTTTTTTTTCTTTTTCTTTTTTTTTTCTTTCTTTTTTTTTTTTTTTTTTTTTTTTTTCCAGGAAACAAATCCTATACCCAGCGTCAGATGGTCTAGCTATAGGATAATAGGGACGGACATTCACTTGCTTTCTTACGGATTAGGTCTGGAAGGTGGAACAGTCCTATTGAGATCGCTCCTTTTAGGGGCTTTAAAAAAAAAAAAAAAAGAGAAAAAAAAACTAGGGAAAAAAAAGGGGGGGTGGGTGTCTAAAAAGAAGATGTCTTAATTGTCCTGGGGTTTGAAATGATGGGCTGGGGTTTGAAGTGATCATAAGCGAGTTTAGGTGAAACTTTTAGCTGGCCTAAAGGTCTGGGGGAGATGGGGAGTGGCAAAAAAAAAAAAAAGAAAAAAAAAGAAAAAAAAGAAAAAAAAAAGTACGGCCTTAAAAGTTTTAAAGATAATAAGGGTGTGGGGGGCAAGGGAGGCGCCCGGTTCGGGCCGGTCCACTCCGCTCCCCGGCGGGGACGGGGCGCTCCGCGGAGCCCCGACGGCGCGGGGGGCCCGCGGCCAACCCCGCAGCCTCTGGGCGGGTCCCCCCCGGCCGCCCCCCCGGCCCCGGGTCGGTGCGGGCCCGTCCGGAGCGGACAGTGATGGATGAGGGCGGTGGCGGAGGTGAGCGCGGCCCCCGCCGCGGGCGGGCGCGGCCCCCGGCGCTGCCACCCGCGCTTGGCAGGGCGCTGCCCCGCCGCGGCGGCCGTCCCCGGGCCCGGGGCTTTGTGTGCCCTGAAAGGCGGCCCCCCCTGCACCCCCGCTATTCACCCGCCGCCGGCCGCCTCAATGGGGCTGCGGCCGCCCATATGGTGACCACTGCCGCTTGAATCCCCGTGTTTAAATGGAGGAGAAAGTTCGGGTTTTAAAACATTTCAAAGTGGTTGAAAGGGTCCCACCAGATCCTGTCACAATTCCCCCCGAGCTTTGAAGGCCGGGGCCATTGTTCGCTGATTATAAATGATATTACTTTAAAGTTGATTTCCCACAATATTTAAAGGATGTCGCGGGAGTGTCGCTATTTATTTTTGGCGTAACTTTTCAAGGGAATTAACATAAGTAGCCCATGCGTCCCTCACCCCAGCTCCCTCTTTATGCGACATCAAAACGCCTCGAAAAATATGCTTTGAAAGGAGAGGGAGAGCTCATTTAGGGACAACGACTTCTCTGCCTCGCCAGCAGCCTCTGTCCCTCTGGCCCCGACGGCCGGGGGTGCCCGCGGAGCCCCCCAGCACCGTCCGGCCCGGGCCGCAGCCTCCTTCGCCCGAGCACAATGAAACTTTCCCCTGTTTAATGACAGAAATTACATTAAAAGTGGTGGAAATGCCCTAATTAAAAATGTACCGCTTAAATGATATGCCAAACGCTCAGCTGCAGAATAGCGTATTTAGCTAGTTAGTGAACTAGCTACTATTTCTTTTAAAATTACATGTTAAAATTTTAAAAGAAATCTTACTTTTCTCTGGTGCAACACATTACAAAGAATGGACAGTCCTTTTATCTAAATATAAAATTCCATTTTCAGCAATTATAGCCTGTTCTTGGTGATGATATAATTACAGCTGTGCTCAGTAATAGGTGTCAAGGCAATGCACACTCATACAATAGTTGAATAAAACTGCAGAACAATGCAGGCACTTCTAAATTCACAACCTTTAAAATGAAATTGACTGTGCAGAATTCAAATAAAAACTGGATAAATATTTTTTTAAAAAGATTACAAGCTTGGTTTGGTTTCTTAATAGCATTTTCTGCAAACCTATCAACATCTAATTGATTAGATAGGAATTACTGATTATAGATAATCTGAAATACTGAACATCACTATTTTAAATATAGCAATAGGTAAATAAATGCAGCAGGCAGAGGAGACTGCCATGGCATTTCAGCAGTGATTCATGAAAGAATCACTTTCAGGGGAAAGTATTTTTATGCAGGTTTTATTCCAGAGGGAAAACAAAACGAAATTAAGACCAGGTGATCGTAATTCTTCATCTCCGATGTTTACAATAAGGCTGGAAACTGAAATGTTTCCGTGTTACCCATGTCATTAGCGCTGTGCTGCTTTGATACTCGAGACATTTTTAAGGGAGGGTGTCAGCAAACATGGCTGAACTTGTTTCCAATCGCGTTATTTCTCTGATAGGGATCTTAAAACAAGGGTACCTACATTTCACTTTCCTGCTCTCCGTTCCACAGATGGCTGTCCGCAACAGGAGGGAGGAGGGGAAAACACTAACTCCATCAGCTCTAATGGAGAAGATTCAGATGAGGCCCAAATGAGACTCCAGCTGAAAAGAAAGCTGCAGAGAAATAGGACATCCTTTACCCAAGAGCAAATCGAAGCCCTTGAGAAAGGTGAGTGACATTTTCCTATGGCTGAAGCAGGAGAGAAAAGCAAAATGTGCCCCGACTACATTAACAGCTGAACGTAGGCATGGCATTCACGTGCCTTATGTATACGTATATATTTAAGGTCTGTGGCTCCCTCCGTGCTCTTTTACTCACTGAGCTCCAAATATTCATTGATGGCTGTGGTATGCCCCAAAAAGCCGTTAAAAGGTTTTTCAAAGGGAAGGTATTCAGGGCACAGATCATACCGGAACGTCGATGCTACACCCTGGGCTCCTTTTGGGGGGAAAAAATCTCCTGCCCACTGTCTCTGGCCGGGCTACATTGCTGTGAGCTGGGAAGGCGAGGGCGGGCAGCTGGGGCTGGCAGCAGCCCTCCATGCCTGCCCCCACACTCGCTCCCCATCCCCAGTGCTGCTGCTGCTGCCCGGGGCTGGGAGCAGGTGCCCTTTTCCCTGACCGGCCTGGGCGCACCTCGCCTCTGACCTGCTGCGGATCTTTGTTCTGATTTTGCGCTGTTATTTAGCAACGTGCCATTTCGCTTCTTGGTGACAGGGTCAGAGCTGCCTTGGGGACCCCCTCAGCGGAGGCAGAAGCCCTCACTGCTTCTTGAAAGATGCAGCATTGCACCCAAGCCTGCCTATCCCCACAGCAATATTCCCCAGCAGGCAAGGCGTCCTCCTTCCTAACACACACACACACACACACACACATACAGAAAGCTCAGCTTTGCCTTTACAGTGATGCTTCTTAAGAGCATTTAGAGCACAGGCAGTGGAGGAACAACTCTGACTTTACAGTCGGCCGCATTAACTCTTTGCAACTAACGCAGGATTATTTCCCTCTGCAGAATTTGAGAGGACCCACTATCCCGATGTGTTTGCAAGGGAGAGACTAGCTGCTAAAATAGACCTGCCCGAAGCAAGGATACAGGTACTGAGTTGCTCCGCAATTATAACTGTTATTAATTTTACTATTACTCTTTCGATGCTGTTATTCCTGGTTTGCCAAAGCACGTATAGGGCAGCCCCTATTTATGATCAGGTATTTGTCCCTATCCCCCTTTCAGCAAAATAGCATCAGCTGGGCTTTGCTTTCACCCGCTGCTTTGCTCCACCGCAAGCCACAGCCTTGAGCTACGTGGGGAGGCCCAACGCCTCTAGTCCTTGGTAAGGTCACTCACGACTCTCAAATGCTGTATTTCCAGGTATGGTTTTCCAACAGAAGGGCCAAGTGGAGAAGGGAAGAGAAGCTGAGGAACCAGCGAAGACAAGCCAGCAATACTCCCAGCCACATTCCCATCAGTAGTAGTTTCAGCACAAGCGTTTACCAGCCGATCCCGCAACCAACCACCCCCGGTAATGCCAACAACCCGCTCACGTTCATCCATCCTCTTGGGAAAACGAGACTTTGAGACTGTATTGCCAGTTGTAACTGTGGTTGGACTAATGTGTTCATCTATCTGTCTATTCTATTATAGTTTCCTCTTTCACATCAGGTTCCATGTTGGGCAGAACGGACACGGCGCTCACAAACACGTACAGCGCGCTGCCGCCCATGCCCAGCTTCACCATGGCCAACAACCTGCCTATGCAAGTAAGTCCAGCGCCACCACCATGGAATGATGCTCCCTCGGGACTTGGCGGCCCCTGGGATATGTGGGAGTGTGGGTGGAGGCCCTTCCTGTGCAGGATGAGGGGTCACGGACCCAAATCATGCTGCAAGGAAACCAGCACCAAAGGCATCAGAAAAGATGCTCTCTTTGGGAGAACCAGAAGGGATAGGGAACTGGAGGATGTGGTGCTCAACAAGCACCTTTTTCTGAATTTGAAAATGGAAAGTCCTCAAATTCGCAAGGCAACAAATCTGGGATGAAAAAACACTTTTTGGAGAAAACCCCTGTGGTTAACCTGTGGAACTCACTGGTGCCGTATCGTGGAAATTGCTGCCTGAATAAGCTGCTGGAGGGATCCGACATTCTGGGTGTAGGTATTGTGGCAGCGGCACATTAGGAACACCTGAGAGAGGGAAGGATGTGATTAGCATCAGTGGTTATGCCAGCTAAGCCAGAATTGCAAGAGCTGTCAATCCTCATGCCTGAAAGCATTAGCTGATCACCAGCTGGGTTAGGAAGAAATCTATTCCTTTGGGGTCTGTTTCTATAGACCTTTCAGATGCAAAATTCCTCCTTTTTTAATGGTGGGGTTGGCCTAGGAAGGTGCTGGCCAATTACGGGAGTTTTACAGCTTTGTCTGAGGCACACAGCATTGACCACCGCTAGAGACAGGCGAGCAGATTAGAGAGCCTGACTCCTTCGCTGCGGCAATTACTATGTTACTAATTGCTGAACCAAAATTAACCAAATAAAGTTAGAGTCTTGCAAGTCTATGGAAAGAAGTGATGTTGGCTACGTCGCTGTTCCGTGATGTCAGAGGCCGGCGGTGCCATTCCCGGCAGCAGGCTGGGAGCAGATGACAAAGGATCAAAAGGCTGATCCAGGAGGGGACCCTTGGGAATGCAGGAGGCCCTTGATTCAACACCGGGCACCTGGGCAGGGACCTGGCACGTGTAAGCTGCTCTGGAAAACCCTGCCTACGTGATCACTGTGGCATGGTAGCCATGCAATGTCAGAGAGGGAGGTTTGGCAGCCAAACCATTGGCATCTCCCTGTGGATGCATGGTGAGCTGCTAGTTCTCCCAAAGCACAGCGTGTGTGCCTAGCAAGTGAGGCTGTCAATATTGCTGGAGACTGTGTGTGTCAGGGATGTGCAGACAGAGGAAATATGTGCAGATGTGTTGAGTCTTGTGTGCTTGGAGCGGGAATTATTCATCCTGCTTCCTGCTCCCCCACTGCCTCTCTGTGTCAAGGCTGCACTGGTCCCCACTCACCAGGCACCTTGGAGCAGGAGAAGCCCCTGCTTAGTCCCTCAGCCCCTGCCCCCAGCTGCTCTCCCCCCTGGCAAGTATGGTTTTAAAGGTTGGACTTTAGATAAATGGAGATGTCTGTTCTCCTGGGATGTTGCTGGCACGGGTTTGGGGTGATTGTGACTCTGACAGGGGATCAATGCACATATATGATTGGGTTTGGGGATCCCTCTTCAGAGCCTCAGTCACCCCAGACCTACAGGTTTTGTGTGTGTGCCCCAGGCTTGCAGGTGCAGGACCGGCCTGTGTGCCTCAGTGGAGTAATTTTTAGTTACACCCCTAACAGTTTTTAGTTACATCATCAAACGTGAGGTAAGATGTTGGCCCTGTCTCTGGCTGCAAATAGTATGAGACATCTTTCTTTTACATGGGTATAAACGAGTGCATCACTCAGGCTTAGGTATGTAACACCTCCACTAGCACCCAGATGTAGGGATCTGCTCGCCAAGCATGTCTGAAAAAGCTCCAGTGACCGCCCACGTCGATTTTTTAGACCGAACACCTTCGTGAAGAGGCTGCTTGGCTGAGCTCCTAAACAGGGCTTTACATCGGGGTCCCTGGATTTGAAACCGAAGTTCATTCTTGCTGGTGCCCACCCGCTGCTGAGGGCTGGCACGTCCATCCAGAGCAGCCTAATGCCGTGTTTACCTCCACTGCTAATTAACACTGTCCTGTCCTTTGCTCCCATAGCCCCCGGTACCCAGCCAGACCTCCTCCTACTCTTGCATGCTGCCCACCAGTCCATCGGTGAATGGACGGAGCTATGATACATACACCCCTCCTCACATGCAGACACACATGAACAGCCAGCCAATGGGCACCTCTGGCACCACTTCCACAGGTGAGTGACCCCGTGCTCCCCCAGCCTTTCTTCCTTGATCCAGCCATCAGGTTTTTCACGTGTATTCCCTGGGAGAGGTCCCTGTTGGGTTCAGTAGCTGCCGGACCAGGCAGAAGATGAAAATGTAAAACCTTGCGAGCTGGAGCAAAAATTCTGATTTTTTAAGCTGCTGCTGGAGGGCTGAATGAAAGACAGCAGATTAACAGAGGTGGTGTCCCAATAGCAGGACGGTGGAAAGCTCTTCAGTGAGCCCCCCATCCCACAAAATCTTCCCCATTTAATTAATTTCTAAAGCGGCATTTATTTCAGCATTAAATTTCACCAGAGAAACCCACACTAGTGAGGTTAAGTGTATGTGAAAGTGTTTACAAGACTGGGTGTATTTTTACTGTGTCTGTGTCAGATGTTATTCACTGCTAGAAATTTGAAGTTATAGAAAAGGCAGGGAACCTGTAGAAATATTACCCTATGCATAAAAAAGGCAAAACAGGATAAAAAAGGGTGTCAGAATAAACAGGAGACACTTTCAAAAAGAGTAGAACTGTTCAGTGTATTTTGGGCTGAATTCTCAACTGATACAACTGAGCTGAGGCTCTGGCATTTTGTCTCAAAGCATGACAGTTTATTTATAACAACAAATCAGTGAGATGTGCATAGGTTTTTAAAATATACACATACCTGATTCTGCAGGCTGGTAGATGGTGAGAGTTAATGCTTACTGGAATTCAAGCACAAATCTGTGAAACTGTAAAGCAAAAATTGTGCTATGTATAGAAAAACTAAAATATCCATTTTCCCTCTCAATTTTCAGGTCTCATTTCCCCTGGAGTGTCAGTTCCAGTTCAAGTTCCTGGCAGTGAACCTGATATGTCTCAATACTGGCCAAGATTACAGTAAAACATGTGTTAATTCTGTAAATGACTATATGGACAACAGTTGGATGTTCAGCAGTATTTTATAAAGGAAGAATGGCTCTCAGAGTACTTCTGTACTGCAACTGTGCCCTATGCTGTAACACATGGAAAAGACTTTCACATGGACCTTTGTACACTGAAGGCATTATATCAGTTGGAACAAATCTTCATTTTGGTATCCAAACTTTTATTCATTTTGGTGTATTATTTGTAAATGGGCATTTGTATGTTATAATGAAAAAAAAAAAAGAACAATGTAGACTGGATGGATGTTTGATCTGTGTTGGTCATGAAGTTGTTTAAAAAAAAAAAGAAAAGGAAAAAAAAAAAAAAGAAGCCATGATCAACAAGCTTTGCCACGAATTTAAGAGTTTTATCAAGATATATCGAATACTTCTACCAATCTGTTCATAGATTATGGATTGACGTTCCAAGTTTGTATCATTCCATTGCATATAATTGAACCTGGAACAATACGCACTAGATTTATGTAAGAAAAATATCTGTTGGTATTTCCAAAGGTTGTTAACGGCTGAAGCTATGTGCAAACAGGGGGTAAGAGAGAGCTTCGATGAAGAAAAGTTTGATAGATAAAAGGTAGATTGTGTCTTCGATATAATCCAATTTGTTTTATGTCGAAATGTAAGTATTTGTCTTCCCTAGAAATCTCCCAGAATGATTTCTATAATAAAGTTAATTTCATTTATATTTGACAAGAATATTCTATAGATGTTTTATACACATTTTCATGCATCATACGTTTCTTTTTGGTCGGCAAGAGTTAATTGTTCTTAGATATAGTTGTACTACTGTTCACAGTCCAATCATCTTTGTGCATCTAGAATTCATTCCTAATCAATTAAAAGTGCTTGCAAGAGTTTTAAACTTAAGTGTTTTGAAGTTGTTCACAACTACATATCAAAATTAACCATTGTTGATTGTAAAAACCATGCCAAAGCCTTTGTATTTCCTTTATTATACTATTTTCTTTTTAACCTTATAGTGTGGTGTTGCAAATTTTGTTACTGTGTTAGGTTAATCTCATTAAGTTTTATTTTGATTTTATTTTCAGTTTTCAATAAGGAGGGATTCTTAAGAAACGTTTTTTATAGACTTTCAGCCCTTCCGCCAGCCTGTAATTTGGGCTAACAAAAAGAAGATAGGTTCACATATCTAATTGCAGCTGAGAGCAGGAGGAGGTTGTTTATTTAGCTTGGGTTTCTGGGTATGCTTTAAATGAACTCCAGAATCCAGCAGAATTTCCAGTGGGGAGTTTGCATCGTGCCAGTCAGTGGCAGAGACACGATGCCCGCCTGTGTCTATCGGCTGTAACAGTACGTATAGACACACATGCACACAAATATACATTCCTGACTTCTAAAAATTGTTTTTGTTAGGATGCTTAAAAGGGAAAAAACCCAACCCAGCTGTGTTTTTAACAGGCTCTTTGGGAGACTGAATACCATCCCTTTATATTGCCACACAGCACAATCTTAGTGTAATTTTCCATTGAACTTGTAACCTGGTTAATACCTCAATGCGCTTTGTGTGAGGGTTGTTAGTGTGGGCGTGGGTGGAGAGCTGCATGTCAAGGAATAATGAGAGAAGACAAATCAACAGGCAACAACAATGCGAGCTGGGACTGGCTAGTGAAAGCTAAAGGCCTTTAGTCACTGGCAGGGAAATCTAAACATTCCCATATCTATGAAGCTGGCTCATTGTGCTGCAGTTGTTACTCGCAATGCTGTGCTGAAAAAGGGATCTCATGATTAAAAAGCCAATGTGCAGGGAGTTTTGAGTCAAAGCACAGGCATCACAAGCAGCCTTTGTAAAGCAAAGATACCATCTCGGCTGGTTATGTTTTCCTTTTGGCATATTTGTCACTGCAGATAACGCTTCACTGTAAACTTGGGGCAGAAGAGCTGAGGTGCCGAGGTAGTTGCAGCGCTGCAGACGAGATTAAATGCACGTAAACTCTGGATCCTTTAGGGAAAAAGAGCAGTTTTGCTCAAAGCATGAGATGATAGCAAAATGAAGAGCCCAAAGCAAGCTAAAATGAACAAAAACATTAGATTTAGATTTCTTTTTAATTGATACTGGTCAGTTGTAAGTATATTTGTTATACCAGCATAAAGTAGTTTTAACTACCTGGAAGCCATCCATTCACAAATACTGAAGTAACACTGATTTTTAAAAAAATTTTTAATACATATTTTTGTCAGACCTGCGTGTTACGTATTTATGAGGTATGGATAGATTGCATTAAACACCACAATAGGCAGGTCCCTTCTCGCACAGCTAAATTGATTCAGGGAACAATTAATTACAGGTACAAACCCGGCATTTATATAACCACTTAGCGTGTTTATACCTACTGATGAAGTTTGTTATCTAAATGCCAATTTCTGTTCGACCAGGAACGGAAAACAGCTTCCCATCCCTTCCCTCCCCCCGACAGCTTTTGTGCCCTGGTCGCTGTTCCTGCAGGTGCCGATCCGCGGGCAGAGGCAGCTCCCCATAGCTCCTCCCTGCCCTTCCTGGGGTTTCCCGGCCTTGCAGCTCCACCGCCCGTGCTCCAGCCGTCGGTGGCCTCCACATCGTGCTGTCGCCAGCCCTGTCCACCCCTCCCGAAGCCTTTTCGGCGGCAGGCTGTGCTGGGGGCTGCAGCCTTCCCGCAGCCCCCGCAGCCGTGCGATAAAGCCGCTGCGTGCGCGGATGAACCTTGAGATCATTCCGGTGACAGGCCGGCTGGCCGCGGTGGACTGGAGACATTTCTGGCTCACTGGCTTGTTATCGTGCCCTATGGAAGCGGGTCGGCGGGGAAAAGTCCCCGGCTGGCTGCACATCGGGAAGGAGCCGGGGCATTTGGTCCCCAGAGCGTCGCTCGCCTCGAAGAGCCGCTGCCGAGCGCGCCGGGGGCTCTGCGGGTCACGGGCAGCCTCGGCCTGCACGTCTCGTGTCCGCAGCCCTGCCAAGAGGCATTTCCCGGGTGGGCTGGGGCACGGGGCCGAGCGTGAGGGGGTCCCACGCCCGGGCACCGGTGCCGGCTCCCGGGTGCTCGCTGGGGGCCAGGGGAGGCCCCGGAGCAGCCTGAGCGCTGTCGCGGTGGTGGTGTGGCTGCGCGGGGATGTGCCGCCTCGCCAGGCACCGCGACCAGCAGCAGCATGCGTGGGGAATGAAAACCTTCAGCCTCTACCACCCGTTTTCATCCCTTTTTTTCCTGCCAGAGCTGTATGACTCGCGAAGACTGGAATCTGCTGTGATGTGTTGCTCAGCGTAACACAGCAGTTTCCAAGGGTCTCGTCTTTTTACCACTGAAATTAGTGGGAGTTTTGCTATTGATTTCAATAGGAATGAGACATTTCTGTGCATTTGGTTAAAATGTATTTCATAATAACACCTTATACTTTATTTATAAGCCCCTCCTAAGGCATTTCACAAATTATAGTCACACAAGAATTGATGTGTGAGTGCTGTCTTAATAACACTGTATTTTGTGTTTCAAATATTGTGTTCTAGATACAATATTTACATTTACAAGTGAAAAGGCTGCTAACCTAACAGTTATTGTTCAGAGCAGACAGATGATGAGCCATACATGCTGATGGCGAAGCAGACACGCATGCGGTGACACACGTGTTGGAGCTGCCTCGCGCCGTGCAGACACCCGCTTTAATTGATTTTAAAAGGTAAGCACCAGCCAGCGTGTCCTGCTCCAGGAGGCAGGAAGAGCTGCCTTCTCACCCAGCCTGTGACACAGAGAGGGGATTTCCCCTCTACTTTTTATTTATAAAGTCAGCAAAATGCCCCCGTAGGCTGGTTTACTTTAGGCAGCCTAACGTGGGATTTATCTGTGGGGGCAAGATTACAGTAGCAGAGAACAACCCGGGACTGATAACACACATTGCCTCCCCCAGGCTTTCCAGCCACTGGAAGTCCTATTTCATTCACTTTCCATGGCCAAAGGTGTCTGTTTGTTTGGTTTTGTTTGTTTGTTTTTTTGTTTTGTTGTGTTTTAAATTGTCTTTTCTGGTATTACAGACTAAACCACATTATCTCCTTTTCTCCGGGTAATACGTGCGAGTTTAGAGTTGTGCTAAGGTTTACATTTGTTTTGCATTTTCATGGTACAAACAGTACTACGAAAACTGAAAACGTGTCATTGTTTTTAATTTCTTTTCTTCCAGTTCGTTTCCATTTGCTCTTGTCCTCGGCTTCAGCAGTTGAGCATTGTGCCACGTGCAGCTGATAAGGCTCCTCTGCTCTGGGAATGGTGTAGGATCTTCCTTTAACATAACTCTTCTTTGACAAGGCACCTGCTTGCTTAATAATGAGCTCCCGCAGCCGTGTTTCTAATCAGAAGTGTGATTGGCACCTACAAATACCCAATTCAACCCCCCTCCCCAGTCAGAAATAGGCATGTGCATTATGGGTGTGAGAGCAGAGTCTGTGATGGCTGCTTGGTCTTGTTCAGACAGCGAGTATTTACGTGTCTTGCTGTGGAGAAAAGGCAGCCATGGGAGTGTTTCTGTGGCTGAAGAGGGCAGGAACCCCGAAAACCTTGCACTGCCCAGAGTGGTAAAGGCAGAAGAAATGTTCCTCCTCTTTGGGTGGAAAATAAAGCATGGAATATAGCTCCATTTGGATTAACGCTGGAGAACGATGCTAGGGAAGTCTCTCACGTTATCGTTCAGTATTTCTTTGAGAAAACAGCAGAGGATGGAGCAACCTGCATGAGCTGCATGGTAGTAAAGATAGCACAGTTTGGATAGGAGCCAGTTTGGCAAGTTCCTTGCTTTAGAACATGTTTTAAATTAATTCCTCCCCTAATATTCTCTTAGTTGTAAAGAAAGTAAACCTCAGCAGACAGTTAGGGTAGCTTACCTAGGACAGTTCACTATCCTAAGATAGTTTTCAAAAGCAATCATGTGGAAGATGAAGGTGTTTTCATAGGGTCTGCAGAAATGAAACCTCAAAGAAATGAAATGATCAGTCTGTTAATATGTACAGCTGATGTGTTGTAGATTTTCATGAATCCTCCAGCTGCCACAACCCCTGTTGTTTCTTTGGAAGGTGGTCCTTTGGAGAAAAGTCTCCAGGAAACCTGCTTTCCTCTAAATTTCACTATGAACCTCTGATGACTATATTTCAGGGCCTTCTGTACTATTCCCTTTCCCCTTCTTGGTACTACCCCTAGTGAAAGGATCGTGATTTCGAAGGTGGTGAAGGTGAAAACGTGTCTGTGATGCTGGTGGGCTGTGTGCTGCTGCTGCTCTGCCCCCACAAAACACCATGATATTGTTTTTTTCTGG